GGGGGGGGGAAGGGGAGGGCTCTTCACAGAGAATGGTTACATCTCAGACACCCCCCCAACTCACATTCTCCTGACTCCAGAGGTCTCCCCCAATAGTAAACTACAATGGGGATGAGGGGAGCCAGGCAAAGAGAGAGAAAAAACAGGGGGGTGTTAAAAACGCCATCCTCCTGTAGTTCCCCTGCCCCCAGGAGCGATCTTACCACGTTCTGAAGCGACCGGTTCCTCCTTCCTCCCGATGTTCTCTGCAGAGCAGGAGAAAAACAGAGGGACACCGATCGTCTTTCTGTCTGCCCAGGCCTCTGCAGCAGCGCCGCGTCTGTGCCTCCAGGCAAGACAGAGCCTCTACCATCGCCCTCTGGAGCTCTCTGCAACCTGCAGCCTCCAGGAAAAAAGCTTAACCAGTCCCCTCAGGCTGGAAGCCAGGCGTGGGAGACGTTGCAGCTGCGCTGTTCCCCGGGGATCTCCCAGGTCCACGTCAGCCGAAAGGAGGGGAGGGGAGGAGAACAGGCTAGAAAGGTCCTCTAGCTGCTCCTTCCCCCTTTTCTTCTTTCTTCAAATTATTTTCCTGTGACCAGTGTGCTCCACAGAGCACAGTCTGCAGCTTCCTGCTCTGAAGGCAGGGCCGGATAGACTGGGAAGCAGGAGCACAAGCCCCTCCCCTCCGTGACCAAAAGAGTCTGCCGGCCCTGCTTTACGGAGGAGAGGAGCTGTTACCCAGGAGTAAGGAGTCTGGAGGACTGCCCCACTCCTGGACCACCGGAGAACAGCCAGTTTCAGGACAGCCCTCGGTGACCTGGCCACCCATTCAGATCTTCAGAGGTCCTTTGCCAGGTGGGTACACTCCAACCCCATTTCTGAAACTTCATGCCACAAGCCATCTTCCCTTTAAGGCCCCACAAGATTCCTCTTTTGCAAATCAGTATGATTACCACTCTGGAGTTACCTGGTCTCCTTGTCTTGAGAGGATACTGACTTCTGTGGAAGCGGCGGAAGCGGCTAGGACTAGATCCCTTCAAATACAAGGGGAAGATAGTGTTAAGAGCCAGCCGTGAGCTGAGGTTTCCGTTCAGGTTTGCTCCAAGCAGGATAACTGTTGCATCACACTCGAGTTTCACAGAACACACTTTTAACACCAACAAGACTTAACGTAAAGAGACTACACAGAAAAAAGAGTGTTAACGGTGAGGCAAGTGTTAACTGTGATTCCCCTTAAGGGTTAACATGATTATTAGCAGGCCTGCCCCCCCCCGCCCCGCGGGTGTCTAGGTGCTTGTAATTGGGCCTTCCCACCACACTATCCGTATCTCTTTCAAGGCCAATGTGGCGATCGGTTGATTGTGAGAACCTGTGTTCAGCAGTGTAACCGGATGGGAGGGGGGGGGGAAGCAGGAGTGGATGTCACATTTTCTGAGGAGTTCCATCAAGTGGGCTCCCTGACTGAGTTTGGGAGACCACCTGGTTCAAGATGGCCAAAGACTATAATTAAGCCACAGGCAGGAGGGAAGTGTCAGCAAGCTGCCAAAATGTTCTTTCCCCTGTGCACATGCGCATACCTTCCTTTGCACAGATGCACATACCTTTCCATGTGGCTAATTGCCGTCCTCCTGCAAACTGCACTGCGTATCTCTCAAGGCCGCTGGAGGAGTCGCTTAGATCATTGCTTTGGCTTTAGGCAGGCAGAGCCGTGGGAAGCTCGTACCTGTTTTGCTTTGGGATAGCAGTTGGTTTCCCAGGCCTAAGGGCGCGCGCGGGAACCATAGTAATTGGGTAACGCTCATATGAATGTACTATAACTGTTTTGCGCATAGTTCACCTCTCATTCCTAACAGTGTTCCTGTCCATGCATCTCCAGCTTCAATAAAGTAAAACCTTCTTGCAAGTGTGTGCTTCCATTGTTGCTGAGGGTCCTGACATTCTGTTAGGAATCTATCGTTCCCTATCTCAGCGAATCTATCCGAATCGATATGAGCGACGGAGAGGGGAAACCTTTATAACAGACCGAGGAGGAGGAGGAAGAAGAGCCCGAGGGGGTTCCCGAGGAAGATCCCCCGGTAACCACGGTCTCGGTGCCAGTGACCACTCAACCACCGGCTAACTTTATGATTTGTCCACGCTGTTGCTCTGACTATGCTACGCGACATCGCAATGGGCAGCTGCGTAGACGATGCTTAAGCCTCGAGTTTGGACTCCTGCATTCCAAGGTGTGCATTCCCCGGGAGGTAAAACTTGCGGCAACCAGGGCTAGATCCTTTTCAGTGGCGGCCCCTACCTGGTGGAACGAGCTCCCGGAGGAGATCAGAGCCCTGCGGGATCTTATGCAGTTCCTCAGGGTCTGTAAGATGGAGCTCTTCCACCAGGCTTTCACGTAGGGGCCGCCGCTGCCACCACCACCAACGGTGGTAATGCCAACTGGATTCGGATCACCCTGGGAAGTACAGCCTACCCTGTGTGACATCAACACTTACTGGATAGTGGCACCTCAACGGGGCCGATTGAAGATCGAAGACGCCATCATTACCATTACCAAGGACCATCTTGCTGTGAAGCACTTATTTATTACTATTGTTATGTATAATTGCTGCTATGATTTTACTGTTTTACGGATTTTCTGTATGGGCTGTCGCCCTCTGTAAGCCGCCCTGAGCCCGCTTGCGGGGAGGGCGGGGTAAAAATACCTAAATAAATAAATAAATAATCTAATACCAGGTACTGAATGTATTCACTTTATGATGTTCTTGCTATTAAACTACAGAGACTACACTCCGTAATAATATCTTGGTATTTTTTAAAATCTATTCAATAAACCTTTATACATTTTGACAAAGGTCTGTTTACTCGTGTGCACTTAAACCTCGAGGGCCCCCGGGCCTGGGTGCTGCTCACTTGCAAAAGGAGAAGAGGCTCAGGGGGACTCAGGCTTGGGTTCTGGACAGTTAACCTGTTGCCTTTCCCACAACCACTGGTTGAAGGATTGCTATGCCAAGGTTTTGAGCTGTACAACTACAACAACAACAAAAACACCTGTGGAAAGCGCAAATTACTCAATGTCAGATTACACTCAAGTGCTGCTTAAAAGCACGTGTCTCAAATGCAGTTAATGATAAAATCATACATAGAGATTGCAATGTAAATCCTTTAGTGTGATCCACGTATACTTATTAAAGCACTACGGCTTCGAGACAAATTACACACATAAAAAGGTATGCAAAGAAAACCTCCCTGGAGCAAGACCAATATAACAGGCTGCGTGCAGTCCTTGAAAACAGGTGTTATCCCCTTAATGCTTGGAAAATAAGAAGCATTTCTTTGTGTAATTTGTCTTGAAGACATAGTATACGTGGATCATACAAAAGGATTTACATTTCAATCTCTATGTATGATTTTCTCATTAATCGCATTTGAGATATATGCCTTTAAGAAGAGAAGAAGAAGAGATTGGATTTATACCCCGCCCTTCACTACCCAAAGGTGTCTCAGACCGGCTTACAAACTCCTTCCCCTCCCCCTTCCCACAACAGACACCCTGTGAGGTAGGTGGGGCTGAGAGAGCTCTTGAGGGAAACTGCTCTATTTCAAGATCAGCTCTTATCAGAGCTACGGCTTGCCCAAGGTGATCCAGCCAGGTGCAAGTGGAGGAGTGGGGAATCAAACCCGGTTCTCCCAGATTAGAGTCCGTGCACTTAATCACTACACTAAACTGGCAGCACTTGAGTGTAATCTGACCTTGAGTAATTTGTGCTTTCCACTGCTTTTGCTTTTGTTATTGTACTAAGTATCTCCATGATCCCATTGTATTTAAAGTTTTGCACTGGCCAGGCTGATTGGGGGAACACTCCATAAGACATAAAAAGAACACAGTGAATAGCCTTGTCCCTCTAGTTTCTGGGGGGGGGGGGGGAACCTTACTGCTCTTTGAGAACAGTTTACATTTCCTGAAAAGACAACAAGAAAGGGCTGTTTCATGTTCATCTGGCTGAGGGGGTTATTACACACACCTACTTCGTGCAAAGTTGTGGCCATCCAAGTCTGCTACGAGTGGTAGCAACTCTCAACTCTGTGATGAGCCAGGACCTTCTGCAGGCAAAGCGTTCCCTCTGCAACTTGGACAGAACCGTTCGAACGGACAAAAGAAAGCGCCCGTCCCTCCCGAGGCACTCCGGCTCAGAGGACTCATTTTTCAGTCTTCATTAAAGGGAGACAGGGGGAATGCGGCGCACACCAAGCTGATGCCCACCATATTCAGTATGCAAGGTGACACACCTGCACAACTGCCTTGCAGGCACAGTGGAAAGGTGAGGGTCGTTTCGTAGAAAAAGAGCTAGGGGGACTCATTAGCATAACTCATTAGCATATGCCACACCCCCTGACATCACCGGAAGTGTGTCATAAGGCCACACCCCCTGACATCACCGGAAGTGTGTCATAAGGCCACACCCCCCGCCCCCAACGGTCCCGGCCGCCTCCCTGGCCCCAGGCAGGCAGGGGTGGGGAGAGGCACCCTCTTCTCCTGCCTCCTCCTGGCTGAATGAGGGCCGGAAGCGGGGTGGCCGGAAGCGGGGGGCGGGCTTCGTCATGTGCCCCGCCCCCCGTACCTCACCCCGGGGGAACTGCGATCCCCTGCATTCCCCCCCGAAGTGACCTCTGCTTATGACTACATTAGATCTCTTTCCAAGAAGGCTGTCCCATCATCCTGTGGCCCAATGCTACGTTTTCCATTAGTCTTTTTGGTTGCTGACTGATCCGTCCTCACATTTTCAGCCACTCTCACAGATTTAGCAACCTCACGTTGCTTCCTTCCAGGGTCGCCCGACACCCGGGTTTTGTACAGTGAGCTCTGGATGATCACTGAGGTGTGAGCAACAGATCCCAGTTATGCATCAACTCTAGTTTGTTTGCTTCTTCTCTCTCTTTGCTACCTTGCAGTGGGGAGGAAATCTTCCCAGTCCTTCTAGCCAAGCCACCATACAAGGGTGGTGCTTCTCAAAAACTGTGGATGGTGAATTCAAACTTTACAACAAACCACAGTTAGTATAAACTGCGATTAACAAACCAGCTACAAATCCTAGTTTGCCACACTGCACTCAGCCATCACAACTAACTGGGGCTTGACTAGGCCACGAATGATATACGAATGTGGCCAAGAGACACAATTTTAAAGGGTAACACGGAGAAACAGGTCCCATAGCAAATGGTACAAATGCGTTTGTGGTTCGGTGTGCACAAACGAGGGCATGGAGCTTTCCTAATCTTGCTTCAATGGTTAGCGTGGGAGAAAGCTGGCCACCTGAACACAGAATGTGTCATTCACAACTGACGTACTTTCATTTTAAACTTGGCTCCTTTTCACATTACAGTTCAAAGTGTAGAGTATGACTTTCCCTGGGAACTTGGAGGGCTTTCACACAGGGCCACTGCTACACGGAAGAGCACATGCTTTGCTTAGACAAGGCCCCAGGTTTTATTTCTGCCATCTCCATCTCAAAGGACCGGGAAAAGATCTCTCAGCCTGAGACAAGAGGGAACCTCTGCCAATAGTAGTAGTATAGTACTCCGGTTTGACTGAGGAGAAGGTTGCTATACATAGTTCTTAGGTGGTGCATACAGAGGCCCCAGGTAACAAATGTGGGGAAAGGCCTGAACAGACCCCAAAGAGACATAGCCGGTCAAAAGTAGTAGGTGGCATTGACAAACCCATGGCCTGAGAATAAGTCAGCCTCACAGGTTAATGGGATCACCAAGATGAAGTTTAAACCTTCACAAGATACCAGCTTTGGCTTTCGTACATTCATATGCCCACGTGTTAAGGCTGCACCCTGTGACACCACAACAGCGTTGCAACCCCCTGTAGTTCTGTGCAGCAATGAAGGCAGATCAAAATCCTCCATCAACATGCCGTCCCCCCCCCCCCAACGAACTCAAAACACATGCTCTCGCAGGGCTCTTTTTGTAGCAGGAACTCCTTTGCATATTAGGTGACACCCCCCCTAATGTAGCCAATCCTCCAAGAGCTTACAGAGCTCTTCTTACAGGGGCTACTGTACGCTCTTGGAGGATTGGCTACATTAATGGGTGTGTCACCTAATATGCAAAGGAGTTCCTGCTACAAAAAGAGCCCTGCAAGCACCCCAAATGGTGACTACAATCATGACAAGGAGCTAACTTGCCTTCTGTCATGCAGCCATGAATAAGCCGCTCAATACTGGCAGAGTATTACCCAGGCACCCCTTAGCACGGGATGAGGAGCATCATTTCCTGTAGCTCCCCAGGACTTACCAGTCCTCAACGTAGTTAAGGAAGTAGTGATGCTGCCTCTCGTTGCAGTTGCTGTAACAGGGTTCCATGAAGTTGACAAACCTCTCTGGTCGTTTCTCTTCCTTTTTCTAGACAGGAAGAAAGAATGGGGAGCCGCATTTAAAGGGTTCCTCACAAAACCGTCAGACGTGCTACAGCTTAATAGCATTAAGGTCCCAAGATACACAGTGTTAAGATTGCTGTAAGACACCATGTAAACTGTAACGATTTCATGTTTAACTGTGTGTGTGTGACTTTAAAAGTTTGGATGCATGGTGGAGAGAGATTAGTCTAGGGTGGTTGAAACAGGCAAGTAGTGTGATTGGTGAGTGAAAGAGAGGGGGAGGGGTTTTGGAATGGATGCTGTGTGGAGGATTTGAACGTCTGTCAAGAGGGTCAGTTAGATATGACAGTTGATGAAGATCAGTTAAGTTCTGATTTCTGTGAGAGAAGCAGAAGTTCTGTGTATGAGAGGAGTGAGACCCATCCCTGTGTGGGATGAGTTTAGTTCTGGGATCTGAAGGAGAGACCTTCTTGTGTGTGATATGAGAGTTAAGTGCTGTGTCTGAAAGAAAGTGACAAGCAGTTCTGTGTTGAAACAGTTATAAGCTGAAGCTGAGTGTCTAGGAAACAGTAAAGATTATATGGACATGAAGGAAAAAGTGTTACAAAGTTACCTAAGGAAAAATCCCTGTCAGTAGGGAGCAGACTGTGTGTTATACCTACTTTACTAGTTACATGGTTCTACCCTCGTATTTGTGCTTTCTTTAAATAAATCCTATTTCATTCAAGTATACCAACTCTGGAAAGAAACTCTGGAAAGAATCCTTCCTCAGACCACATAGTTCCTCGAAAGCTTAAACCCTCGATATACCTACCCAGTGATGAATATTATATTATAAAGGTTTGGAAAGACTTAAATTTCCTGGTGGCAGCTGGATTACCCAGTAGAGAAAAACATAAAGTACACTTTTAAAGGGAAACCAGACCTCCCCAGTAAAGGGGTCGTCACATAAACCAATTACAATTTTTAAATCTTTTATATTTTTTATCTTGCTCCGAGCTACACTGGTGACGTGATTCAGTGCTCCTCCGTACAAAAAAATCTCTTGCATGTAGAAACGTAGCATGGAAAGAGACATATCTTTCTGTACATAAGGGTTTTTTTCCCCCATGAACCTCCATCTGAAACCTAAACTGTAGAGCTCCAACTTTACCACTTTAGTGAGGCTGAGGTGTTGCTATAAAGTTCAGATGCTCTGCATGAGTGGCCAATTCAGTTAAGGCGGGTGGGGGGTGGAAATCCTGAGAGCATCAGGGCACGAGACATTCTGTTATTTCATTCCCAAACAAGATTTGATTAACGACCAATGAGATTCTGCTTTTACAGTGCTACTATCTATATATCTAATTCTCAAGTCGCCCCCTGGTGTGCGGATACTTAAATCCGCACATCGGGGGGACCTGGGGGGGGGAGGGAGAGGTTTGTGCGCACGTGGGGCGGTCCCCACGTGTGCACAAAAATCCTAAACCTGGAAAATAACATCGAGGGGATGTTTAAATCCCCCCGAAACTCACAGAGCGTCCCCTGCGCATGCGCAGGGAACGCTCTGCGACCGCCGCTGCCGCCGCTTGGAAGGTGAGTGGCAAGCCGGGAGGGGGGGCCAGAGCGGCGAGGGCCTCGCTTCGGGGCCGGGGGGGGGGAAGGCAAGGGGAGGAAAGGCAAAGGGGGGTGGAGGAGATGGGGGAACCAGCGGGATGGGGGGGTACTTACCTCCTCTTGCTGCTTCCTCTGCCTCCCCCCCCCCGCGAGTATCGCGGGCCCCGCCCCTTGTTTAACTCCTAATTGCTAAACAAGACAAGGAACACGACAACAAAGACCAAGGCCAAAGGTCTGGCAGCCAGATGAGAATGAATCGATGTGCAAATCCTTAGACACGGAAAAGTAAGAGTTAAGAACGTGAAGAGAAGCCATGTTGGATCGGGCCAGTGGCCCATCCGGTCCAACATTTTGTGTCACACAGTGGCCAAAAATGCAGGTGCCATCAAGAGGTCCACCAGCAGGGCCTCTCCACAATACATACCGGAAGCACAGCCATCACTAGTTCAGGGGGAGTTTCCAAGGTCCCATCTGCAGCCGCATATACAATCGTGAAGACATAAGTGCCAACCCAGAACACATCCAGGACTGGCAAAGAGAAGAACAGACAGAAAACACAGTTTAGAGAGCTGGTCACTGACACGCTGCACATGGAACACAAGGACTGCTGTGACACTGGTATTCACTCCTACCCAGCTTTACACCTTGCATACCTTCTAAATACACAACAAAGTACAAACACTGCACCTGCCTAGTTCTTGATATGCTCATTTAGTACATTTTTATCCTTCCCATTTTCTAAGGAATACTAGCAACAGATGAGCCACCGATTTGTGCCTGTGCTGTACGCCTGTGCTGTATCAGCTCACATTCCTTGCACACAGAAAGCTAGCCTGTACAAGAGAAGGTTGAGGCTAGAACCCTTTACCCTGACATGCCATCTGTCTAAATCATCAGAGTCCCCACCTGCAAAGCTCAGGGTGACCATCTGCTCTGCTGCTTGTAGGAACAAGGCCAGATAACCATTAAAGATTAAAAAGACGACTTTATCTGTGACTCGCAGAGTGGCTGTTACCTCCAGTTTGGTGTAGTGTTTAAGAGCCAGTTTGGTGTGGCGGGTAAGAGTGGCGGACTCTAAACTGGAGAACCGGGTTTGATTCCCCGCTCCTACACATGCAGTCAGCTGGGTGTCCTTGGGTCAGTCACGGTTCTCTCAGAGCCGCTCTCAAGAGCAGTTCTCTCAGAGCTCTCTCAGCCCCACCTACCTCACAGGGTGTCTGTTGTGGGGAGAGGAAGGGAAGGAGATTGTAAGCAGCACTCAGACCCCGAGTGAAGGGTGGGGTATAAATCCAACTCTTCTTCTTCTCCTCCACCCACAGACAGCCCGGCCAGGGATCAGTTCAACCAAGTAAAGCTTATCAACCATAGCAAGTCCATGGCTTAAATAATATCAGATTTCCCAACAGTCTCAAATTCAGTAATGGAGTTTTTAATCCATCTCCCATGTATTTAAAAACCCAACCCGGGATTGAAAGATCTGTGGATTTCTGACTGCCCGAATAGTCTTTGTCAAGCCAGTAATCCATCCAGCCCCTCCAGCCCCACTTCATTATTCTGTTTTACCTGGAATCTTCGTGTGCGATTTAAACCTTTTTATCATATTTTGTAATTCGCTTGCTGATTGACTAAATACCTGTAATCTGCCTTGAGCCCCAGTGGGAAAGCCAAACTATAAATGAAGCTAACAATAATAATTCAGGTGTCATGATAAAACATGCTTTACACTGCGGTGTGTGCAACAAACTGTGGTTAGCACTAGAGATGTGAAGCCCCCCCCCAAAAAAAAATGGAAAAATTCAGGAAAAAAACGTTTTTTCCCTGAAGCCTTTTTGTTTTTCCCCGAAAAATTGGTAAAAATTGAAAAAAGAAAAGAATTGATTATGGAATGTTGATTTTAACATAATGAATAACATATTTTAAGACAAGGTGTTCAAATATTTTCCAAATCATTTCTAAAATATATATATATATGGTATCAGATTGATCTAATTTCTGTGCACTGAGGACAAGCAAGTCCTAGGTTACAAACTGAACTCTCCAATGCAAGAACAAGATGCATTTCTTCCTTTAGGAGGTGCGATTGTCAGAAGAAAATAAAAAAGTTTCAGTTTTGTTTTTGCATGTGGGTGGGTATTCTGTTTGTAATAATTGTTTGGATACACTATATTTTTAATATGCTAGTTGTGATAATTTCATGCCACGTGAAAATGTCCATAGTCATATTTTATGTTCCTAAAGTAACAGAATGACTTTCAATCTAGAAAAGACAAAATAAATGCTAATGTAGCATTTTTTTCAATTTTTCCAAAAACTTCAATTTTCCCCGGAAATTTTACATCTCTAGTTAGCATACCGGACAAAGGAACAACTCTGGTTTGTACATAAACTGTGAGCTGTCTGCATCTTAACCTCTTTCCATTCTGTTTAATTTACACAGCCACACCTATGAAGTTCTGCTGTCCATATATAAATTTCTGGACCATCCCAGCTCATAGGAGAATTCTCTTTTTAGCTAGGTTCGGTGTACTACCTACTGCTGTCCTGAGTAGACACTACCCTAAAAAGCCCTACTCTGAGCACCTATGTGGTTGTGGATCCGGCTCCATTGAAACCACACAGCATGTCCTTTTTTCCTGCCAAAGATATAAGCATCTAAGAACACAGTTCACTGATCCGTTAGTTCCCGACGCTGACTTGCCCGTAGCAAGCAAGCTTCAACTCTTGCTTGGTGGCTTTGATCCAGCCATTACAGTTCTAGTAGTGAAATTTCTCCTGGGCTTGTTTGGACATAAGAGACAAAATGTGGTTGTTATAATGTACAGTGTATAATGTATTTAAGGGACTCTAGGCTGTATCCTACAATGCTTTTTTGTTAATGGCCGTAATTTCCTCCAGCGCAAGAACAGAGGCAGAAAGCTCCTTGCTCCAGTAGAAAGGACTGCTACAACCGGAACAGATTCACAGGACTCCTCCCTGTATAGTACTGATGCCTTTTCTCTCTACTCATCCTTTTTTCTCACAGTTCTGTTTACTGGACCATCAGAGGGTCTGTTGGACTGACCGCAGCAGTGCAGATCATGTCAAATACTTTTATTGCATTGACTCAAAATCATAGTAAACGATTAATAATCATAAAACAACAACACAAACAGTTGCATTGCCAGCTATATTTTTACACTGTCAGCTACACGTAGGGATGGGCATGAACTGGGAAAATGCGGTTCGGTTTGTGGTTTGTGGCTGAACAACAAACTGAACCCAGAATCGAAGGCTCATTCATGAACCAAACTGGTTTGTGCAGTTTATGGCCCTGCAAACCCTGTTGAAAGTCCCTTTAAACGAGGTTTGCAGAAAGCCCAAAAAAACAGCTGCGCCACTCAGCTGTTTTGGGCTGTCTGGTGCAGTCCCTTTAAACTTTAAAGGGACTGCAAAAGGCAGCCTGAAAAACAGAGGCAAGCAGAAAGGGGAGGAATTCTCAGGAAGGGACTTCCCTTCCACCTTTCTGTTGGCTGTGGCTCGCCGTGGCCAACTGAAAGGTGAGGGTGAAGGTGCCCCTGGGAAGGCACTCCACCCCTTCCATTTGAACCCTCCCTTCTGCTGCCCGCAGCTTTTCCTAGGTAGCAGAAAGCAGGGCCATTTAAACCCTGCTTTCTGCTCCCGCAAAATTTAAACCAAACAGCTGAGCCGTGTGGAGCTCCCAGCCACTCAGCTGTTTCTCCTGAAGAGCACGTCTGCTCTTCATGAACCGTCATGAACCACCAAGAATTGCACCAAGATTCGTGGTAGTTCGTCCCAGTTCTTCAGTTCATGAACGGTGGTTCACAAACCCCAAACAGGCCAAAATTCATGACAAACTTTGGTTCATAAGGTGGTTTGTGCCCATCCCTAGCTATAAGTTGCTCATGCATTCTCAGTTACATGCACAAAGAATCCAAGCAAAATACCTGGTAGGTTTCTTGCAACAAGGAACACATATCAGCTGCATTCTGGAATATGCCTACATTTTGCTATATTTAATGGACAAGTTATGTGACTCAAAATTCACCTATGAGGCATGAAGATGATGATATTGGATTTATACCCAGCCCTTCAGTACCCGAAGGAATCTCAAGAGTGGTTTACAATCTCCTTTCACTTCCCCTCCCCACAACAGACACCCTGTGATGTAGGTGGGGCTGAGAGAGCTCTTTTGAGAACTGCTCTTCCCAGAACAGCCCTGAAAGAACTGTGAGCAGTCAGCCCCCTCAAGACCAAAGTCAAAGAAATGCAATACCTTTAGCAGGATTATCAGCCTTGTAGAATGGTGGGCAGGGAATGGTTTTCTTCTCCTGCAGGTTCTGAAACACAGGACGTAGTGCTTAAAGTACCCTGCAGCTCACAATAACAAATGCAAGTTTTACTATGAAACAAAATGTACTTATGCAGTGTCTTGAAACATTCAAAGCGCTTCACAGATTCTCTCAGCCATCCTTGCCACTAAGCAAAAGAGCAAGTTGATTAATCCCCATACAGCAGATTGCAAACTAAGGCAGAGAGAGAGAAAGGCTTTCCTAAAGCCACAAGGGAGCTCATGGCACAAGTGAGATTTGAACCAGGGACTTCCTGGCTCACAGGATATAGAGCACACCAAGTTTAGGGTTCTGCCTTATTACCATTTCATCTTGGATGCATTTACACTCATGCTCAAAAGTCTATGTAATCAAATACATCTTTAGCTAGTGCTGGAAACTAATCACATGTGCCACCAGCTGAATATGTGTGTGTGCTGTGATTGCGCCTTGCATGGTCAACTACCTTTTTTCATCTAAGGGTGGCACATGGAATAGGACTTCACAGGATGACTACAATGATCAAGGCATGTTTAAATGGGAGCACACAGGCTCCCTATCCTATCCAAATAACTTGGATCCAGATCATGTAGCTATTTTGAATTCAGCCTAGAAACAAATCAGTAGGCAATCTTACAGATGCATTATGAAGCTTCTGAAATATCTTCAAAGGCAGCCCCACAAAAAGCACATTGCAGTAGTCTAGTTTGGTTGTGAAGTCGGGCACCTACCAACAAACATGCACTTTTGCCTGTCGGATATCCAGTGCTCTACCTCCTTGGATGAAAAGGAGGAAGTTCACTGTGGGCAGATACTTACAGGCAGATACTGGACCACGGTGCCATTCAGTTTGCCCACGGCCAGCTGCTTCCCTTTGGGGCTCCAGCACACTGAGAGAAAAAACAAGAGAGTCTTTTTTTTAGTCCTGGCAGCTGACTAGGCTTGCCAGACCCCAGGCCTAGGCCCGGGATCCCCTGGTTTCAGGGGCTTCTCCCCGCCGCGGACCAGCTGGCCGGCGGGGGAAACACCACCCCTAAGCAGGGACACTCTGGTATTTGGGCAAACTATGGTTTGAGGGTGAAAAAACCATAGAGTTTCACCCAAATACCAGAGCATCTCCGTGCGATGATGTCACTTCTAGGTAACATCATCGCACTGGGGACGTTGCATGATGTCCCCGCCCACCCCTGGAATCCCCCCCAAATCCCCCCACCAGAGTGATGAAGGGACCTGGCAACCCTACAGCTGACAAGAGTGATGACAACAAGCCAGTGAGGGTGTTTGGATGGTTTTCCCTTAGGAGTGCTTTTCAACACTGTGTTCAGATTTTGTGGTTAGCACGTAAAATCCTTAAAAAGCCCTTTACTCACAATTTGGATTGCAATGAAGTGAGAACATAAGAACATAAGAGACGCCAATGTTGGATCAGGCCAAAGGCCCATCCAGTCCAACACTCTGTGTCACACAGTGGCACAGTGCCATCAGGAGGTCCACCAGTGGGGCCAGGACATTATAGTGGGGTATAGGAAAAAGCCTGCATGGTTAACAAACAGAGTAATGGAAGCTGTAAAAAGTAAAAAGAATTCCTTTAAGCAGTGGAAAGCTAGTCACAGTGAGGCTGATAAAACGGAACACAGGCTATGGCAAATAAAATGCAAGTCTGAGGTCAGGCAGGCAAAAAGGGAATATGAGGAGCATATAGCAAAAAACGTAAAAACCAACAATAAAACTTTCTTAAAATACATTAGAAACAGGAAACCAGCCAGGGAGGCAGTGGGGCCCTTGGACGACCAAGGGGTAAAAGGAGTATTGAAGGATGATAGGGAAATGGCTGAGAAGCTAAATGCATTTTTTGCCTCCGTCTTCACTGTGGAAGATGAGAAGTGCTTGCCCACTCCAGAACCACTGATTTCAGGAGGGGTGTTGGAAGACCTGAGTCAGATTGAGGTGACGAGAGAGGAGGTCCTAAAACTGATAGACAACTTAAAAATGATAAATCACCAGGCCCAGATGGCATACATCCGAGAGCGAGGTAATGGGCAGAGCCTGTACCAGTGCCCCTTCAAGGCCATTGGTGAGTTGAAAATATTGACTCTGTTTAAAAAACAACAACTGAACCCAAACTAGTAGCAAATCTAGGGCACGGCAGCAAGAAAAACAAACACAAATTCTGGTTTATGCTGCTGAAGTGCCCGTTGGCACAACAGACTTCCTCTCATAATTTATATCATACCCTGTGACTCACAGTTGTTAACTGTTCCCCTTCAGGCTAATACTATGAGGTAGGTTAGGCTAAGAAAGCCACGTTGCCCACATCTCAAGTTCCATAGCTGAATGGGATTTGAAGCTTGAGTGTCTAGTCCGAATCAGTCCCTGAGCTGTCAATAAAAACCCTAACTGCAAGCCAACATTGCACCTAGTGCCGTTTCACATGTAATGCGGAGGCAGCCTTGGGGCTGCCAATAAACACACACTCTTCAAGAAATGACAGTAGAACACAGTTCTCTGGCTCAGACATCTAGATGAGGCATGCTAGTTGCATATATTTGTTGTGGAGGAGGTATACTTCTTGTTTATGGTAGATCAAGATGGGTAGCTATGTTAGTCTGTCTGTAGCTGCAGAAAAAAGCAATAGTCAAGTAGCAACTTAAAGTTCACGCATCACAGCTCACTTCTTCAGATACAGCTAGAATGGGAGTTCATCTGTTCTATACATTGGAAAGTGACGTGATTTCAGATGCTGAATGACATTAGCAGACAAATGACAATAGCAGGTGTGATTGGATTAGGTGTGATATGCAGAGGGGTCGCTGGCATGGAGAAATCAACATTGGTAATGAGACAGAGGTCCATCAGTGGCTATTAGCCACAAGGTATAGATAGGGGCTCTGGGGCAAGTGATGCTCTGTCTTCTTGGTGCTTGGGGGGGGGGTCAACAGTGGGAGGGCTTCTAATGTCCTGGCCCCACTGATGGCACTGGAATTTCTGGCCACTGTGTGACACAGAGTGTTGGACTGGATGGGCCTTTGGCCTGATCCAACATTGGCGTCTCTTATGTTCTCATGACAGGAACCCTAGGTCTCTGTTAAGTCCAGCTGCATGCATCGTCTTGAGCGTCATTATCAGTTGCAATTCAGCAGTCTCGCTTTCTGATCTCCCTTTGAGATTCCTTTGTAAGAGAACTGCTGCTCTTTTGGTCAGCAACTGAATGTCCTGGAAGGTTTAAAATGTCCCCCCCCCCTAGTTTTTGAACGCCGCGGTTCCTTTTGTTTAAGATGTAAGGCAGCCCTTCGTTCCACAGGTGTCTACACCAACCGAACTCTCGACTACCAACCTGAAGTCGCGCCCACCGAGGCAGGAAGAGTGGCGTGCACCTTGACGGTGTCAGTGACCTGCAGGACGGAGACGCTTCCATCGGAGACGCAGAGGGCCAGCATGCAAGGGTTCGCGGGGTTCCACTTCAGGTCGCTGACCAGCGCCATGTTGCCTGCTTCTTTGGGCAGCTTATGAAAAGCGATGGGACGCTTCTGCTGCTTAGCCTGCCCGAAGGAAGCAGAGACATTCCCATCACGCTCCTGCCAAAGCCTGCCTCAGTCTGCCTCCACCTGCAACCCACTGGCCCACCCACCCACCTATATCGCATGTTTCTGTCCTGCCGTTACTCCCAGGAACCTAACACAGTGCTAAGTAGTGTCGCCCCACTTCCATTGTATCTTCACAACTGTCTTGTGAGATGGGTTATGCTGTGTGAAAGAATGACCGGACAGGGATTTGAACCACAGTGTCCCCAATCCACCACATTAACCTCCAATGTGACAACCAGCATGGTATAGTTGTTAAGAGCGGCAGATTCTAATCTACAGAACCATGTTTGATTCTGCAGTCCTCCACATGAAGCCGGCTGGGTGACCTTGGGTCAGTCACAGCTCTTACAACTCTGTCAGCCCCCAAAATAAGTCCAGCTCACCACCTAGTGGTGAAAAAAGAACTAGTACTTTGGCAGCCAGACAATCCTCAGGATCTCCTGGCTACACCACACACAGTGCCATATAACAACCACCACCACCTCTGGAGTATGCTAGCTATAGGCCAGCCAAGTCTACTGCAACCAGCAGTCATCCTCAGTTATCTGAAGCAGAGGTCTTTTCCAGCAATGCTACTGGAGGTCCTTTGAATTCAAATTGCCGTGGATTGAACTGGGGACCTGCTATGAGTAGAGCGTGTGCTTTACCACTTGGCTACCAGGATCCACAGACAGCCCATCTCACCTGGTTAGCAAAGGTACGGACATCGAAAAAGCCAATGAAGGACCCGCAGTCACTGGAGGCCATGCAGACAGAAATCATGAGATTATCGCAACTGAGCGCTAAGTGATGCACTGGGAACTTCATTGGAACAAGAACATTCTGGACATTCTCCACTGTGAAACAAACCCAGAAAACAAAGCAGTAGGTGACAATTTTGAAGAGACTCTCGGGAATTCCAGTAGTTCTTGAACTTTTATCAGTATAATCACAAATAACTGGCATCGGCATAATCAGTTATTAGCCACCGTTGCTCAATGAAACCTTCCATGTTTGAAGACGGTTTACCTTCAAGTGTTGAGAACAAACAACAGGGGATGAGTTTTGCCACTGTGTTATGACTTTCAAGGGAATCCCAGGCAGCCAGGGCTGGAAATTAAATACTGGAATACATAGATCTCGATCCAGCCCTTGCATTACATTATTACTCCTCTCAATATATGTTTATGAACTAAATGGTGAACTAAAAATTCATTACCAGACTGGAAAAAGAAAACCGTCCGGAACTCCACTTCCAAAATCTCCTCCTCCAGGATCCTCTAAGTTCTCAGGGGCTTGGGGAGTCTTACCAGCCTCCTCCCTCAACTGACTCTCAACATTCCAAGTCTCCTGGAATTCATTCATTCCTTATCAGCTCTTTTAGGGGGAGGAGAGGACAGGCAGCACAGTGTATATGAATACAGGATTTCTTCATGCAGCAACAAATCACAGTTCAGGAATATATCAGAAGCAAAAGCCCCTCTTGCATAAACTTTCCAGGGACAAGAATAATGATGCTGGATGTAGTTTGGTAGGAATGCATTTCATAGTTGGCAACTAGGAAGTTAACAGCTGAACAGCAAACCCATTGTGGACCTTGGCGAGCCCAGGTGAGCTAGCAGCAAGGTCAGTCTGATATAGACGCTTATTTCAAAGTAAGGCATGTAGAATTTCAGTATTAAACATTTAGGCACTGGACAGGATTGGGGTGAAGGGGTTGGAGGAAGACTATGAAAACAAGCCCAGGAATCTGCACTTTTTACTTAATCTGCCCTGGTTTTATGCTACTCTCCCATTTTAAACAAATGTTTTACATTTTTATGGATTTTTGCTGACAGACTGTAACTTGTCTTAAATCTCATTTGGAAAACAAGGCAGCATACAAATGTTGCAACTGTGATCTACTACCTATTCATGAAATCGTGTTGTATATTTTGTAACATCAAAGTAACTTGTATTATTTGCACAAACAGGCATCAACGAAAATCTGAAAGTGGGTTCCAGGTTGGAGGTTAAAAGTCTCTAGACTGAACAGTTGGAAGAACACTGCTTTATGCTTCATGGGCTGATTTATGCTAATAGGCCTTGTTGCTCTAAAGGCTGCAGGAGGCAGTCGTAGGAGAAAACATACAGCCTGATCTTTATTGCCAGCAGAGCTGGGAGGAAAAACTTACCAATTTCATTGGGAGACTCCCCTGCTTCGTTCTGCAGGAGCAGGTCTTTTGTCTGAAAGATCCGCACCTCAGTTGCATAGCCAGCAAAGACTAATCCATACTTGTTTGACACGGCAAGAAGACTGGAACGATCTTTAGGGAGCTCATCTGGAGCATCAAAGATCCGGACTTTCTTCAGGGCTCTGAATTGAAAATCCTGCGATACAGATAGAACACTAAAAATTTGTTCTTCACATGGTCAGTTGTAAATGTTGGTATTTGAAACCTGTATGTAAACCACTCAGAGACCCTTCGGGGTCAGAGCGGTATATAAATCGAATGTATAAATAAATATAAATAAATAAATAAATGGTGAGTTTTGAAATACCTAAATAGCCAAACCCGTCCTGATATTTCCATATGGATTCAATTTACAAAGAAACACTAGTTTTTAACTGGTGAAATAAGGACAGATTCCCTAGTAGCACCACGGTCACAAGGAGTTCACACAAACTTTCATGGGTTATACTGCATAAGAAGAGCCCCGCTGGGTCAGACTCAGGGTCCCTGTAGTCAAGAATCCACCTTCCTACAGCGACCAGCCACATGCCTCTGTGAAGCCCGCAAGCACAGTTGCCAACCTCCAGCTGGGGCCTGGAGAGCTCAATTAGGGCCAGAGAGCCCCAAGCTCCTCTTGCCAGCAGCTGGTATTCAAATGCACACTATTATTTGAACATGGAGGTTTCACGAAATTACAACAGAAAGATCCCATGCGTGTCCGTTTTAAAGCCACCCGTCAACCACCTTTATATTTTAACATTGAAGATGGTTCGCTTTTGTCTTTTCTGTTAAAGGAAATTCATAGTACCTCTTGGGACTATAATATTCGAACCAAAATAAGATCTTTGGGCCTCTCCTTGGAGGAGCTAGCTTTCTCCTCTGAAGTGTATATCTTCCAAACAATCAAACAGAGGCTGGTAGATATTAAACTTCAAAAACTGCGGCCCCTTCATCCCCTTCTCTGTTCTTCAGCCACATTAAGTCTTAAGAATGTTGTGGGATGTATCCCCCTGTATTTGTATAATCTTGATAGCCCTAGCCACCGAAGAGCGTTTTCTCTTGCTCGAGTAAATGCCTTTCCATCAAAACTACTGTATGGTAGGTTTCAAAATATCCCTAAGCATGAACGGAGATGTGACTGCGGTTCTAACTCTCTTGATTCAATTGATCACATATTGTTATCGACTGTTTGTGGCATGCATCTGCTAGGGAAAAAATGGTTAAACACTTGGTTGCATGGTAAACATCACCTTTCCAACGAAATAAAATGCCAATTTCCATTGAACGATGTAACAGCAGAGGTTACTGTGGCAGTGGCCAATTTTTTAGTTTGACGTGATGAGAGTGAAAAATTTGGGAAAGTCAGTTTCATGATTTTATAATTAACCTCGACTTTTAGTTGATTGTGTCATTTTCTGTCTCTGATTTTTAAGGCTGTATATGCCATTCAAGGTTTATTGATTGATTGATTGATTGAAGTCAACCACCTGTTGCATCAAGGGCGCCCTTTTGCCTGTTCCGAATATCACCGTTAGCGAACGAGTCCCCAGTACTACAAGAGAGGGGAAAGAAGGGGAAGCTCTGCCTGGCCTCTTTTCTTCTTCCCTTCCACCATGCGTGTCTCCCACCCCCCCCCGGTCGCCTTTTCTATAAACTATCCCAAAAAACCCGCCTTTTCTGACGGCGCCAACTTTTCCTATTAAGTGGCAAAGCCTTCAACCAGTCAGGAGAGGCCCGGGCTGCTGCTGCTGCCCCTGCCGGCGGCCGCTCACCTTCATCTCCCGCTCGGGGATGTGGTCCATGTCGTCGCCCATGGCGGCCCCTCCGCCCGGGACCCGATTCCGCCACTGACAGGCTCGCCCGCGCGCGCAGCTCCAAACCCCAGGCCCGCCCTCGGGGGGCGGAAGTGCGAGGGCGCTTCCGCTTCCGCCGGCGGCGTTCTAGGAGTCGCTTCCCGTCCCGCTATGGCTGGACTCTATGGTGGGACGCAAGGTTGCTATGGAAACCGTGCCTGAACGGGACCGATCCTGTCAGTTCCGAGCGCGGAATTATAAATCATCCCCACCCGTTTCACGCCGCAGGGGGGAAACCGGATGTTTCGAGCCCGTCTTGCCTCCTCTGGGGTTGAAACTTCTCTGTGGGACAGCTAGGTCCGACTCTCGACAGCATATACACCGGGAATCGTGTTGGTTTCTAAGGTGCAACTGGAGTCGACCCTAGCTGTTCTACTGCAGACCTAACATGGCCGCCTTCTGAAATTATTTTCTGTGGAAGGAGCCGCTGAGAGATGGGGAAAGTCTAGAGACGCCGTAAAGGACGGAGGACGACTAGAATGACGCACTTCCGGCACAAACGGGACGCCATCGCGGGACAAGTGGCCCCGAGGGAGCCGACAGGTGTCGCTCTAGACCGGGGTATCTCTATGGTTAACAGACTAAAACCTTCCATTGGGAGCTGGGACGGAAGGGCCAATGTGCCTTACTGTGATCTGTTCCTTGTTCTATGACCATTCGAAGGGACTTCCGGTCTGAACGTGGTGCCCATGCGGAGTGGATGAGTTACAGACATTGTTCCCTCTAAGCTGAGTTAGTGTGAGCTAGCTCACAGTTTTTTAGCCTCCAGCTCACACATTTTTGCCTCCGCTCAGGAAGGAGGGCTCCAGAGCAAACTGATTTATGCAGCAGCCAAATTGCTCGCTCACAACTTTAATCCCAGCAGCTCACAAAGTAGAATTTTTGCTCACAAGACTGCGCCCGGCTTAGAGGGAACATTGGTTACAGACCATTGAGATGTGAAGTGACAGAGGGTTGACAAAAGGGACAAAACTAGTACAGTTCTTATCTGAGAACTCTGTAAGCTTCTCTCTGCTTAAGCTTTATGGGAAGGACAGGGATGAACTTGGGGAAAACAGTAGGGTTGCCAGCCTCCAGGTGGGGCCTGGGGATCTCCCGCTTTTACTACTGATCCCCAGCCGACAGAGATCAGCTCCCCTGGAGGAAATGGCAGCTTTGAAGGGTGGACTCTATGGCATCGGACCATGCTGAGGCCCCTCCCCTCCCCAAACCACGCCCTCTCCTGGCTCCACCCCCAAAGTCTCCAGGTATTTCCCAACCCAGACTTGGCAACCCTAGAAAACAGCTACCATATTAATATTGAAAGAATGCCTGTTGTGTTTGCTATTTAGTGTTTAAAACATAACCTTTATTTACCTGGGACATTTGTTAGGAAAAATATTTGGAAACTTTTGAGCTGGGGCCAGAGATGGGAGCTCATCTCCGTTTCCAAGCCGAAGAGCCAGCGCTGTCCGAAGACATTTCCATGGTCATGTGGCCGGCACGACTAGACGCCAAGGCGCATGGAACGCTGTACCTTCCCACCAAAGCGGTACCTATTTATTTACTTGCAGTTTCTTGCTTTCGAATGGCTTGGTTGACAGGAGCTGGGGCCAGAGACGGGAGCTCACGTCGTCATGCGGCACTCGGGTCTCGAACTGCTGAACTACCGGTCTGCAGTTCAGCATCTTCACCTCTGAGCCACCGTTCTGACATACAGAAGCCTAAAAGTCGGTTGTCCCCCACATGATGCCCTTGTGCCCTTTCCTGGTGCCCACTAAGTGTTTTTAGAGTGTGGGCATGGCCAGACGGGGACGTTTACCCAGCAGGGCTTCTGACTGGCCACTGGAGATCTGATTGGCTGTGCAGATTTTTAAAAGAACATGGCTTTTACAGCAGCTGCCCCCACAAGGACCGTCACAGCGTGACTGCAGGGTTAGGGTTGCCAGGTGAGTCAAACAACAAATATATACACTACAAAAACCTTTTTTTATGTTAAAGGGTTCTGTGTATTCCATCTTATAAAGTGCATTGTGTGTTATTCATAATTGTGTATGAAATGGAATGTGTGTTGTATTGAGCTTGAGTCTGACCAAGGTATTGTAAACCGACCTATCAGAACAAGGGAAGTTCTGGAGGGAAGCAAAGTGATTGGTCTTTATGTACAGTTTCTGATTGGATCTTATCTGACATGTGGGCGTGGCTTGCCAAGCCCGGACTGTTTAAAAAGGAGCCGGTTGCTCCATTGTTTTGTCTCATTCTGGTTCTTTTGACTTCAATAAAGCTGTTATCACTGTTCACCTGCTGCCTCAAGTCTCGTATTTAATAATATTCTAAAACAGGTATATAATATCAACAATAATAATCAGTTTGTACAATCTAATAGCTACCAGTCAATTTACATCCTTTTTACACAATCAACCCCAACGGGAGTTTCTAGAATTGTACCCCTGCTTCTCCTTGCTTGAAAGTCTTCTAAAGGGGGAAGTTTCCTTTTGTGGTTACATTGAAGTTTAAATTGATGTTTGTTGCTGGTCCCACAACAGGCCCATTAAGCAGCTGACATTCATAGGCTTTCTCAAGGCTGACAGGAGCGCTCCGTCTATGAATGTCAGCTGCTTAATGGACCAGCAACAAACATCAATTATGAATAATACACAATGCACTGTATAAGATGGAACATATAGAACACTTTGGGTGCGTTCAGACGGGGCGTTTCTGCCGGCCTTGTTGGAACCAGTGCAGTTTATGCCGGCAGAAACGCGATCACACTTACCCTCCATTTTGTGGATCCCTCCGGTGGACGCCCGCTCACACGCTGCGGGCGTCGGCGGTTTTTTTTTTTTTTAAGGAAAGTTTGCGAAT